CGAAGTCAGTGCAGCAGAACCATAGAAAAAGCGTGAAGCATAGTTAATGGCTAGCCACTGTGATGCGTCTAGTAGATTTCGGCGTCAAGGCAAGAGTGGCTGCCATGGATGTTAAAACATTCACATGAGTGTTTTCGAGGCGAGCTACATAGCTGATGTAGAAGCCTTCGAATTACAAAGCGAGCTTCATTGCTACTTTGTGGTATAGTATAAGGTCGTTGTGGCGGATTTCATATCCTCCTTTGATCTGATTGACGATCAATTTAGAACCGTCGTAAGCTTCAAGGTGTTTGACATCTATGTCTTAATAAGCTAGTTACAAGCTAATTATGAGGGCATTATACTCAGCCACATTATTGGAGCATGAGTTGGTCAATGAATGGGCCAGAGGAAGGACATGTCTGTGGGGATCGATTAGCACTGCCCTACTCCTGCAACAATTGCTCCTCTATGATTGCGTCTTGATGCACCGTCAAAGTAAAGTTGCAATATCTGGTGGTTCAATGTAATATTTGACTTGAAGACTTCATCCAGGATGTCCTTACAGAGTTTAGAAGATTCAAGGAAGGAGTGATCCACTAAAAATTAGCTATTGCTTAGCCTTTACTGCTTTATGTGGCACGAACGCCATATCGTATTATGAAAATAATATTACTCATTTGGCTCACATAGAGTTTAGAGATCCAGGTTTCGTCATGAGTATCCTTAGAGGATTAACTCTTGAAATGATGTGAATGGATTGACCACTGAGCTAGTATCACATTTTCTGGATTGTGAAGACTAATACTAGACATTCCTTTTCAACTGAATTATAGCGATGCTCGACACCAATCATGGTCCCGCTGAGGTAGTAAAAATCTTGTTTGTGGTCATTGTCATTCTTCTGGGAAAGTAGTGCTCCAATGGAGTGGTCCATAGTACTAAAGTAGATTAGGAAAAGTTTACCTTGATATATGCGCAGCCAGGACATGTGACTTTCACTTTTTTTGGGATCGACATGTATTCCTTTAGATGTTATGATAAATACTAGGAATTTACCTGATGATACCCTCAAGAAAGACTTAGTCGGGTTCATTTTGAGTTGATATTTTCTCATGATTTCAAACACTGTTCTCAGGTCATTGACATGGTCCTGTTTGTGACGGCTTTTCACTACAAGATCGTCGACATAACATTCCATGGTCTTACGCAAATGTTCACGAAAAATTGTGTTTGGCATGTTGGTAAGTTACTCCAGCATTTTTCAGACCAAAGTGCATTATTGTATAACAAAATACTCCTAATGGTGTCCTGAAAGCTGTGTGCTTCTAACCATCTGAATGCATCTTGATTTGATTGTATCCAAAAAATTCATCCATGAATGGCATCTTTTCAAATCCACGCGTATTGTCAACCATGACATTCCTAATAGGGAGAGGGAATTCATCCTTTAGACAACTAAGATTAATAAGATCCCTAAAATCAATACAAATCCAGATCTTGTCATTCTCTTTCATTACCACTACGATGTTACCTAGCCAATTTAGGTGTTGTTCTTCACGAATGAATCCGCATTTAATAAGTTTGTGGATCTCTTTCTCGATCTGCTCTATCAACTCAGGACGAAAACATCGTTATTTTTGCTTGACTGGTTTAACATTGGTGTCAAATGTTAAGGCAATGTACGACACATTAGGGTCTAATCTAGGCATGTCTTCGTAACTCCAGGCGAAGACATTAATGTACTCTCGAAGGAGAATTATGAGTTCATCATTCTCAGTGGATGATAAACATTCGCTAATGAAGATGAACTTGGGATTGACTTCTTCACCTATGTTGATTTGAACCACTTTATCTTCGGTTGGTGGTTCACTGACTTCAAAGCATGGCTCGCACTGCTCTTTTAGATGTTTTGCCTATGCATCATCTTCAGAATCTTCAAACACTTTGGATTCATTAAGATTCACAGTTAAATTGTACGAGACCATGTTAGCTGTGAATTCACCAAACACTGAGATTCTCGCAACCAGTTCTTTAACATAACCAACCAGAAACAATCCAAGTTTTGATTTAGAGTTTGTCATAATAATACCATTGAGAACTGTTAAATATTTTAAGGAATACTTTTTTTATATTTTTATCTCCACTTTTTATTATATAACATTGAATTATTATGCGACATATCCGTTCTACGAATATATGACTTGATGAGTCAGCATCTTGACCTGCCCAACAAGCCGACACCCCAATGTCGGCACGAGAAACAGTGACAGTTGACATGAGAGATCCTGACCTCCCAGACGAGTAGACATCTTTATATCGACTCGAGAGACGGTTATTAGCTGAGACAAGACGACATTCCAACCAGTCGGACAGGCCGACACTCCTGAGTCGAAGCGAAAGGCGGTGTCGGTCGATACGAGAGTCAACAACTTAAAGATATGATCCTATGGGCTTTGCTTCTCGACGAAGCTAAAGGATTGCCCTTATCTCAAATCTGTTAGCATAGGTGTCACTTCTTAATATTATTTAATCTTTGATGATCATCATTATGTCTCCGTCCTCAACAGTCTTGAAGATTTGTCGGTTGCTGGCTCCCAATACTGCAAAGTGACCTCCTGTCACTCACAAACCAACGTGTGTGGAACAAATGATGACTTATTTTCCAACTCACTCCTCATCACCGCCTCACTACCGTCTTACTGCAGACCCGTGAAGTGACCAATCTTCCCTTCGTATCTCTATAAATGCAAATGTTATTCGCTATAGCTAAAGGTTCGCAATCTAAAACCCCCAAGAGCACACACTACACAAAAATAAGAACACATAGTTCTGTTACTCCACTCAAGCTCAAGTTCATTAACTAACTTGATCGTCGGAGATACTACGGGGGAACTTATCCCCGCCCTCTTATGACTCTTTGTGTGCAGATTACTTAATCATCCTAAGTCCAGAATCAGGCATAAAGTCGAAGAAGAAAGCGGCTCCTTGCAAACTCTGTGACTTTATTTGGTTGTGTGATATTTAACATCAACAACTTGGCACCCATCGTAAGGCATTTTTTCCTTTTTTAAGAAAAAATATCAGGCTCTAATATAGGATCTGAGCAGTCTCAACCTCGAAGACAGTCGTCTAATTATGTTACCCAGGATCAATTGGAACGAGCGGTGAACCAGCTCTTCCTATCACTTAAAGAGTAATTTGTCGTCTTGACCAACGAGGTTCTATGGCGAATCCCAGCGTCATCACATGCCATTGTACGACCTCCACCCTCTGGAGACCGACAATTGGGAGCACCTCCTTCCCAGCAATAGGATGTCTCACTGCGAACCCCTTATAATCCCCCTAAGCAGATGGAGAGGCGTCTCAGGCAATCGAGCGTCTCATCTCAACAGGAACGGCTTCGTCGTCTTTATTCAAAAACCTATGATGAAAGTTTCGGTCCCAGTCATTCAGAAGAGCGTGCCAGAGGAACAGGCTTCAAGACGCCCCACCATCGCGTTTTCCCGTCCTCATCTACCACTTCAGGAGCTTCCGCCTACGATCGAGTATACAGGCTGGTTGCTGATACAATTAGAAGGAATACCCCACTCTCGGACGAGATAATGGAATGCTCGTTTGAGAAGTTCAAAATACCCCACTTAGGGACATACTCGGGTGAAGGAGATCCTTCTGAGCATGATCAAAATTATTTTGACATAATGAGTATGCTCTAAGTTTCTGAAGCAATCCTCTGTCGGTGCTTCCCTATCACCCTCATAGGAAACACTAAACTTTGGTGGAATGCTTTGAGTAGAAGATCCATCAGTAATTTTCGACAGTTGAGTTGAATATTCATCCACCACTTCCTAGCTAACACCAAGTAGAAGCCCCCCCCCCCCCTTACCTGGGAAGCACAGTCGCCATGGCGACACTCGTCGCCGGCCTGCAGAGCAATGAATTAGCCGACTCTCTCGCTAAGAAACCAGTCGCCAATTATGAACAATTGATGGCCAAAGCCCATAGATACATGGACATGGAGGACGCCCGGGCTTACAGGGCCTCAGCAAGGAACGCGGGGGTTCCCGTTGCCACGACTTCAGCAACGCCAGCAACCATGGTCGTTCCATCAAACCCTCCAACAGTGCCAGCAGTAATTCTATCACCTGAACTGACCAAAAGTCCTCTAAGGCTAGGATGGCACAAGAATCCTCCAAGGACCAACTCCTGTCCTAATCACTCAGACAGGAGGAATCAGCAGAGAAATCCGACACCAGAGGAATCTCTAACCATCTTAGACACCTCGCTTACTATAATGCCTTGTCTATGGTCCAGAGGGAAGGATATCTCAAAGATCTTACACCTAAGATGTCATCAGATCCTAGAAGCAGGGACACTAAGTAATTTTGTCATTACCATCAGGATCACGGACACCTTACCAATGATTGCCGGATCCTCAAGAGGGATATAGAGGATCTGATTGAGAGAGTATATTTAAGAAATCTCACTTTTCGGAGAGATCACAGGGATACTGCCCCAAACAAAAATGATAGGAGATCCCGCTCGCGGTCGTCTCCATCTTGACCTCAAATAGACGAACGACCCCAAAGGAGTCATCATGTAATAAGTGGTGGTCCTACAGTTAGGGGGGGGTCATCCAACAATGAGCGGAAGAGATATGCTAGAAGAATGCTGCAAGTCGATCATGATCCCAAGAAGACGAGGACATAAGAGCTCATATCTTTTACTGACGAAGACCTACAGGGTGTTGAGACGCCCCATGGTGATCCTCTTATTATCACCGCGGTCATTAATGGGTATCAGGTGAAACGAATTATGATCGACACCGGAAGTTCGGTAGACGTCTTATATACTAGCGCCTTCAATCAGATGAGAATTGACAAATCCCGCCTCCTCCCTTGCAGGAGACCCCTTATGGGTTTCACTGGCCACATGCCCTCTTACCAGAGGGAATGATAACTTTATCATTTGTATTAGGAGAATATCCTAGGGAAATCACTATCCAAATCCAGTTTTTGGTAATGAATTTGAAGTCGGCCCATAATGTTATATTGGGTTGGACCGCTCTCCACCTCTTGCAGGCCATCCCCTCAACTTATCATCAGATTATCAAATTTCTGACCCCAAATGGAGTCGGAATAGCCCGGGGCAATCAAAAAGAAGCTAGATCTTGCTATCTACTCTCGATCAAGGGGAAGGGTGTCCAATGCACTATGTCGATTGAAAAAACTTGTCTCCAACTAGAAAAGACGGTAGAAGGACCGAGGACAGAGCCAGTAGAAGGGCTCCATAAAGTCCCTATTGATCAAGAAGGAATGAAGACAATCAAGACTGAGTCCAGATTAGTCGAGCCCTTGAGAGGGGTTATGGTGGAATTTCTAAAAGCCAATACTGATGTATTTGTTTGGAGACCGGACGACATGCTAGGGGTTCCCCCCGAGGTAATGTGTCACGAACTGGCCGTGGACAAACATGTCAAACCAATTCGACAAAAGAAGAGGCATCTTAGCCTAGAGCGCCAGAAGGCGGCAGCGGACGAGGTGAAGATGCTTCTGAAAGCCGACTTTATCCGAGAGGTTCAAAACCCAGAGTGGTTAGCCCATATGGTCCTAGTAAAAAAAGCACTGAATAAGTGGAGGATGTGTGTAGATTTCACCGACCTTAATAAAGCTTGTCCTAAAAGATAGTTACCTCCTGCCTTCAATCGACCAGTTAGTTGACGAGAGCACAAGACATGAAATGCTTAGTTTCATTGATGCTTTCTCTGGCTATAATCAAATTTTCATGGCTAAACACGATCAAGAGAAGACTTCTTTCATCACCGATATAGGGTATATACTGCTACAAAATGATGCCCTTCAGACTAAAGAATGCTGGAGCCACCTACCAAAAACTTGTAGCCAAGGTCTTCCAACATCAGATCGGTCGTAATCTTGAAGCTTATGTGGATGACCTATTGGTGAAATTCAAACAAGTGTCTACCCATATTTCCGATTTGGACGAGACCTTTTTAACCCTGAGGCGATATCGAATGAAGCTCAATCTAGCTAAATGTGCCTTCAGAGTACAATCAGGGAAATTTTTTGGATTCATGATTACCCAAAGAGGTATTGAGGTCAACCGTGAAAAGATTGCTATAATAGAGCGACTCCCTGAGCCGTGTACTTTGAGAGAGATTCAGAGGTTGAATGGGAGGGTCGCAGCTCTAGGTCGATTTTTGTCCAAGTCCGCCGAGAGAAGCCTCCCTTGCTTTAAAATATTAAGAGGAAGCAAAAGCTCGAAGGAGGGTATAATCTGGATAGCTGAATGCAAAGCAGCATTTCAAGATCTCAAAGCTTACTTGAGTGCAAAGTCATTGCTGAGCAACCTATGAGAGGGGAGACTTTGTTTGTATACATAGTCGTCTCCTCTGAAGCAGTTAGTTCTGTCCTTGTTTGGGAGGAAGAAAATACGCAAAATCCCATCCATTATTAGTTGAATCCTCCGAGCAGGCGAACTCAATTATTCTTTTATAGAGAAAACTGCATTTACCCTCATCCTTATGGCCAAAAGACTCCGTCCTTATTTCCAGGCTCACCTCATTATTGTCAGAACGAGCTTACCTTTAAAGAAAGCTTTGGGAAGTCCTACCACATCAGGAAGAATGATTGCCTGGGCGGTTGAGCTTAGCGAGTACGATGTCCAATTTGAACCGCGAACAGCTATTAAAGCTCAAGCTTTGACTAACTTCTTGATCGAATCGGCTCCCAAAAATGATGAACCAGAAGTACTCGCGCCACCTCCTTAACCTTCACCCCCAGAACGCCAGGCGATCCCTCTAACTAGTCGTGCTCTGGAGCATGATTCACCCGAATATGACTCGTGGTTGCTATTGCAAGTAGATGGATCCTCTGGAGAGGCGGGCAGTGGAGCAGGAGTGGTCATACGAAGTCCCGACGGGTTGATATATGAGCATTCCATTTCCTTTAAATTCTCGACCTCGAACAACAAAGCCGAGTATGAGGCTCTACTCGCTGGCCTCCGAGAGGCACGAGCTTTGAAAGCCGAACACCTTTACGTTCTAGCCGACTCACAATTAATTGTTCATCAAATCAACGGGCGCTATGCTGCTAAAGACCCAAGGATGGCCCTATATCTTCGAGTTGCCAAAGAACTTCTAACAACCTTCTTGGAATCCAAGATAGTTCAAGTTCTTTTAGCCCTTAATGCTCGAGCAAATGCCCTTTCCAAACTGGGATCAACGAATTTTGGAATTTGCTCTAGACCTGTCTATACGGACACACTAGAGCACCCTAGTATCTCGAAGCCATGAAAGATCCTTATGGAGACAGAAGAACCTATATCGCCTTGTGGGCTAGATCCCATTATCCTTTATCTAACACAAGGTGTTTTGCCTGAAGATCTAGTTGAAGCCAAGCGCCTGTTAAGAAATTTGCATCGCTACCTTGTGATTGAGAACCAACTTTATCGAATGTCCTATGTTGGCAGCAGTATAGGACCTTACTTGCGATGTCTATGGCCGCCGGAAGCTCTCTATGTGCTTTGAGAGATCCATGAAGGTATATGCGGGAATCACCCAGGGGCTCGAACCCTAGCACAAATCATTCGTCAGGGTTATTATTGGCCGATTATCCTAGCTAAGTCAATGAAGCTAGTATCTCATTGTCAAATGTGTCAATTCTTTTCATCCATTCCTCGAGCCGTCGCAACCGAGTTGACTCTTATTTTGAGCCTTATATATTTTGCCCAATGGGGCTTAGATTTGTTAGGACCTCTTCTTATGGCTTCAGGACAGGAAATTCCTTATAGTGGCGATTGATTACTTCACCAAATGGATCGAGACCAAACAGCTGGCTAGGATTGGTGAGAGCAACATCACAAGCTTCGTATGGAAATCCATTGTTTGTCGTTTCGGTGTGCCTCAGTCATTCATTACCGACAATGTCACCCAATTCGATAGTAAGGGTTTTCGAGATTTTTGTGAAGAGTTACAACATCCAACCCAAGTTCGCTTCAGTTACTCGCCCAAAATCAAATGGACTTGCAGAAGCTGCCAATAAATGCATTCTTCAAGCATTAAAGAAGGTGGATACCGTCCTAGGACGATGGGTGGAGGAGTTACCAAGTATCCTATGGTCATACCGCACAACCTCATAAGAATTCAACTGGAGAGACTCACTTTAAGCTAACATATGGGGCTGAGGCAGTTACTCCGGTCGAAGTAGGTATACCGACCATACGGCTGCGACACTTCTATGAAGACATGAACTAGGTAGAACTTCGAGTCAACCTCGACCTCTTAGAAGAAACCAGAGAGAAAGCACTCCGAACTCAGGTCATCAACCAACAACGAATCATGCGCCACTATAATAGTAAGATTCGTCCAAGAAGATTCAATGCTGTAGACCTTGTCCTTCGTAAAGTAATCTTTGACAAAGGCACCCGGCAAGAAAAACTAGCTCCTAACTAGGAAGACCCCTATATGGTTCTGGAGGAACTTAGAACGGGTACCTATCTGTTAAAGGCCCCAAATGGAAGGATCCTCCACCGCCTATGGAATATCGAACACTTACGACGGTATTTTCCTTGAACTTCAAAGTTTAATTTCTCTCAAGCTCTATAGACTTCTTTTGAAGAAAGCCTGTGTTAAATAATATGTTTAATAAGAAGGCTCTAGTCGAAATTATGCATTCCTGTTATAACTGAGAAATGCTATATCCAAGCCCTTGGTTGGTACCTTATCAGGAATAAACTTAATGTATAACCATTTGGCCGACTCACACAGTCATCTCTCGACCTTAGGGGAAGGAAAGACCTAATCGATCCTCTTAAGCCTAGGCATTCGACTTTCGAGTCGAATTTCAAGCCATTGGTACCTTATCAGGAATAAACCCAAGGCACAACCCTTTGGTCGACTCTCACAGTCATCTCTCGGCCTTAGGGGAAGGAAAGACCTAGTCGACTATCTCGAGCTTAGGCGTTTGACTTCCGAGTCGGATTCCAAGCTCTTGGTACCTTATATTGGATCGAACGCTTTCTACCTCTTGCGGGCCATCCCCTTAACTTACCACCAGATTATCAAATTTTTTACCTCAAACGGAGTCGGAGTAGCCCGGAGCAATCAAAGAGAAGCTAGGTTTTGCTATTTACTCTCGATCAAGGGAAAGGGTGTGCAAAGTACTATATCAATTAAAAAAACATGTCTCCAACTAGAGAAGACTGCGGAGAGACCAAGGACAGAGCTTGTAGAAGAGCTCCATGAAATACCTAATGACCAAGTAAGAATGAAGCAATCAAGATTGGGTCCGGAGTAGTCGATCCCTTAAGAGGGGCTATGGTTAAATTTCTAAAAGCTAATATTGATGTATTTTCTTAGAGATCGGACGACATGTTAGGGGGGTTCCCCTCAAGGTAATGTGTCACGAATTGGCTGTGGACAAACATGTCAAACCTGTTCGGCAGAAGAAGAGACATCTTGGCCCAGAACGCCAGAGGTGGTAGCAGACGAGGTGAAGAGGCTTTTGAAAGTCGATTTTATCCGAGAAGTCCACCCAGAGTGGTTAGCCAATGTAGTCCTGGTGAAAAAACACTGAACAAATGGAGGATGTGTGTAGACTTCACCGACCTTAATAAAGCTTGTCAAACTTGTTCGGCAGAAGAAGAGATATCTTGGCCCAGAGCGCCAGAAGGTGGTAGCAGACGAGGTGAAGAGGATTTTGAAAGCCGATTTTATCTGAGAAGTCCAATATCTAGAGTAGTTAGCCAATGTAGTCCTGGTGAAAAAAACACTAAACAAATGGAGGATGTGTGTAGACTTCACCGACCTTAATAAAGCTTTTCCTAAAGACAGTTATCCCTTGCCTTCGATCGACCAGTTAGTCGACGAGAGTGCGGGACATGCACTGCTTAGTTTCATGGATGTCTTCTCTGGCTATAATCAAATTTTCATGGCTAAGCATGATCAAGAGAAGACTTCTTTCATTACCGATATGGGTACATACTGTTACAAAATGATGCCCTTCGGATTGAAGAATGCTAGAGCCACATACTGTTACAAAGTGTAGACTTCTTTCATTTCCGGTGCAATTGTCAACAAGCTTCCTCCATCTTGGATATCATTCTTCACTGACATTCGGAGAAGGAAAAGACTGGTAATTCTGTCTGATTTGAAGAGGTTCATTCGAATTGAGGACGAGACTCGAACTCGCACAAAGACTGAGCTCCTTACTAAGCAGAAGGCGTATGCTAACATGGTGGCTGCTAACTCTGAGAAGGATAATAATTCATCTTTCAAGAAGAAAAAAGTTTTTTTAACAAAAAAAAGAATCAGAATCCGAAGAACCTGAACGTTCAGAAGGAGTTCAAAAAAGCGGCAAATGCTTCAACTATGGGAAGCAAGGACATTTTGCCAAAGACTGCAAAGCACCAAAGAAAGAAACAACACAATATCAATCAAGTTGATGATTTTGTGGTTATGCTCTTCCAGGTAACAACTCCTAGCAACATCTCTAGTTGGTGGTTAGATATAGGTGCTACTTGTCATGTTTGCTCCAACAGAGATCTATTCTCTTTTTATATTGCTACCAAAGAGAACGTATTAATGGCTGATCGTTCTGTGGTTCTTATTTTTGGAACTGTGACTGTGATGCTGACTCTCTTCAGGGAAGGCTCTCACATTGAAGGAGGT